TTGGGAGATGAAGTTTAATTAATGATAATACCTATATGTTAGGCCAACGAGCCATAATCCCGTTAGATAGTGTTGGTGGCATTTAGCATCACCATTGGTATAAAAAATGAGGTATTTTGCTGGTCTTCTTCTTAGGTGGAAGATAATAAAGTGGGTGGAAAATTCTATGAACAGATACTACAATGTAATAGAGCCAGTAGCATTTATAAAAAGAAAAAAAACTCTATGATGAGTTTTTTTAGTAGTTTTTGAGAGTTAAAAAAAAGTGACGCGTCAAGTTTATTGACATTTTTTTCGTGTTTTTTCTCCTTCTCTTTATTGGCTATGCATGTGTTTTTTTCAAAAAAAAAAAAAAAACTCAAAAAGAAAAAATAATTAATCCAATGAATTTGCAGAGCAATTAGAGCATCTTCATTAGTGATTTTTAGGAAGTTTTTGCAGGTGAAAAAAAATCAGGCTATGGTTTTTATACGAATGGGGAACATAATTTTGAGATGTATTTTACTCTTATAAGTAGTGGTTTTTAGTGGGACCGGCCGCCAAGAAAGAGAAAAAGGAACAAAAATAGCATCTGTCTGCGCGTTGAGTGCAACAATTGCGTCCAGTAGGCGTAGGCGTAATCTGAATATGTTTTTTTTTTCCTTTATTTTTTTGTCAGTTTTATTTTGTTTTGTTTTGTTTTGTTTTTTCCCCTTTTCTTATTCATCCTTTTCTTTTTCCTCCCCCTCTCTCTCCTATTTGACACCTTAAAAACTTTAAAAAAAAAAAAAAACCATAACTAATGGAGATGCTCTTAGACAGCTAATCAGGAACTCGGGTAATGATAACTCTTTTCAGGATTAGATGCTATTCTTAGATTTTAAGATTGATTCCTTCGCTAGAAAGAAAATATTTTGAAATGTAAAAAATTTAATTTTGAATCTTGATTATATGAAAATTCGGGTATTAACTCTAAAATTGCAAAATTTGCACCATAGCTTTGTTTATATATGCTCATAATTTAACCCAACTTCTTACAAAATAGTGTTGTGATTAGAATTAAATATAATTAACAGATTTTTACAAAACAAAAAGATGTTGGATAGGATATGATTATTACATCATGGCTAGTTAAATAATTGGTTTAATAACTACACGTTTCAAATTTGACTTTTTGCGAAAGGTATCTATTGAGCCAATTCTATATGAGTAACTTATCTTGCATGGTTTATCTCATTGTGATCTTTGCCGGCTTGGGATATGATTAAATCAATTAATGATGGATAATTTCATTTGAAAGGAAATGGGGAAACAAAAATCAAAGTGATTGTGATTTGATTTCAATAATGTACGTAATTGAGACGTAAACTATAACATGGCGTTTGGTTGGGAGTAAGGAATTAGGATGGAAAGGTATTGCAATTCGGTGGGAAAAGAATAAGGTGAGAATAAGGTAGGAATTCAAATTACATTGTTTGGTAGGGATGAATAGAATTATTGAGTAGGGAATGAAAGAAGTTATATAAAGACTAAAATGTCCTTGTATAATAATAATAGTAGTAATAATTAAGGGTACTTTTGTCATTTCATCCCTTTTTCCTTTTCCCACAACCACCGAATTGCAATTCATAGGGGGTGCCCATGAATTGCAATTCAGCAAAAGGAGGGAATTGCAATTCCCTCCAACCAAACGGCGTAATTGTGACTTCCACTGAATTGCAATTCAACTACAACCAAATTACGCCCAACCAAACAGGCCATAAGATATATATGATTCCTTGGACGATATATACTAAGACACTAATATACATGTCATTAGTCAGTCGGTCCAACCCGGCCTATCCCATTCTACAAGTACTTTAGGGTGTGTTTGGACACCTGAAAAATGAGTTCTGGAAATCATTTTTCAAGTTTTCAGTGTTTGGATGTGCCTGGAAAATCAAGTCAACGGAAATAATTTTCCGTTGACTTTGAAAAATAGGCTTGTTTTGGAGGAAAATGACTTCCCTTTTTTTTGGGGGGAAGTCATTTTCCAACTTTTACACCAACATCACACCACCACCAACATCATCAACACCATACCACCACCACCTCACTACCACCATCACCACCACTACTGCCGCCGCCGCCACCACTATACCACCGCAACCACCGCCACCACACCACCACCACTACCACCACCGCAACCACTACCACCACCAACACCACCAACACCATACACCACCACCACCACCATACCACCGCTGCCGCCACCACCACCATACCACCGCAACCACCACCACCACCATACCACCGCAACCACTGTCGCCGCCACCACCACCACTACCACCACCGTCGCCGCCGCCACCATACCACCACAACCATCGTCACCGCCACCACCACCACCATACCGCCGCCGCCACCACCACCACCATACCACCGCAACCACCGTCGCCGCCACCACCATCACCATACCACCGCTGCCGCCACCACCACCATACCACCGCAACCACCACCACCATCACACCACCATGACCATACCACCGCCACCACCACCACCACCATACCATTACAACCACCGCCACCACACTACCACTACTACCACCACTGTCATACCACCGCCAGTTATTATTATTATTATTATTATTATTATTATTATTATTATTATTATATAACAAATAACACCACTACCACTACACCACCACCACCACCATAATATTTTTGATATATTATTAGTTATTATTTTATTATATTTAAAATTATTATATTATTATTATATATTATTATACATGTTTTAATATTCTAAATAAAATAATTAAAATGTTTAATTATTCAATTCTACTCATTTTCCAGAAAATGAACCAAACACACAAAAACAGTTTTCCAGAATGCAACCAAACACTGGAAAGGAAAATATTTTCCGGAAAATGACTCATTTTCCAAAAAATATTTTCCAGAAGTCATTTTCCTGCTTTCCAAACGGACCCTTAGTTTCTTCTTATTCATCATCATCATCATCTTCTTTTTATAATTACATTTTTAGTTTTTGAATCATATACGATTAATCATTTTGACGGTTGAATATTCATTTTTATAAATATAGCCTTTAATTGTGTTAGGATATTATGTTTTTTTGAGTCCGCCTAGATTTAGCTTACTGATTCAGTAGGTAGTATTTGAGAGAAGAGACGAAGGTTCGAACCTTGACAACGGCAATGTGGGAATTATGTCTAAAATAGACAAATTCTTTGTACGCATGCACCGACATTTGTCTATATCTGAATAAAATTAAAGATGTTAAGAATAGTTGGTGGGGGTAAATGAGAGACACGTTTTATGATATAAATGAGAAGATTTAATTCCATTTTTTATATTTTCTTTTTAAACTTTACTCTTGTGACCAACTAAGCTATCATGCGGGCTTCATTTTTTTATCTTGAATTTATAGATAGCAGTCTATTTTTTTTTTTCTCAAAACATCCTCCTTTGGTCATAGTATTATTGTGGTATAACTATATTTGGTCTTCTATACCAAGTGACTAGTGGTCCACTGGTATCGAATTGCTCCTCAATGTAGGAGGTCTAGGTTTTGAGCCTCGTTCTAGACATAGATTGTATGGGTATCCCCCTTCCTTTGTAAAATATACTAATATTTGGTCTTATATCAACACAACAGTTTAAATACAAGGACATTATATTTCGGTCTTCATTTATGAATTTTTTCAAAAATAAAAATAAACACAAAAAATATAACATGTCAACGCACTTTGTATTAAAAATATTGATATGTCATTGTATTTAAAGGCATTTCAACGATTTTGTTGTTGGAGGACAAAAAATGATCATGTCACAATCCATAATAATACTATGACCAAAAGAGATGTTCCAATAAGTTAAAAAAAAAAAAAACTAAAAATAAACTGTCACATATAAATTTAGGATAAAAATAAAATTAACTCTAAATGAGAATTATATATTTATTATAAAAGTCGACTATAAATGACCAAAATAACAACTTCCTGCACAACTCACTTATCAACTGATTTTATTTATTTATTTATTTAGAAGTAAAAGGTGTGATGTCTATTATTTAAAGGACTCTGCTATGTTGATAAAAATTTAACCCAGGCCAAAAGTTTTATCAAAATGACATTGAGTGTTGTTACTAATCAATTCAGGAAATATTTTTTAATCAACAATGACATGATAACTAACACACGCACCACAATAATGAGTTGTGTCCATTTTTTTTTTCTCATATAACATCTACTACGTGCACAATAGTTCCACCACTACAAGATTAATTCAAATTATGGTTGAAATGTTTCAATTTTACTTCAATTTGAGTTTGACTCTTAGTTAAAGAAAGCATATCACTCTAACTCTCTTTTAACATGATGCAAAAATCTAAGTAACGGTGACAATTTCTTCTGATCCCGATGTCGATTAGAGATCCCCACTCCAATAGGGTCGAAGACAAAGACCAAAATTTGGATAACGGAAGCAAGAATGGAGATACCCCTCCCTATCCTGCCTCGCCCATTATTGGTACATTAATCTTGTAAGGTATAAAATAATATATTTTCTTTTTATTCTTGTAAAAAATTTTTTTTTAATATTTATTCATGAATCATGTTTTTAATTGTTAATTATATTTTTTGCTTAAAAAAAAAAAGAGAGATATTTGTCCAATACACCCCGTCGAACCTGTCAACCCACGTGAAGCATGTTAAGATTACTATTCGAACCCTAGCTCGCGGGCAGGCAACATAAGCCCAGCAAAAATTATTCTCGTAATGAAACTGATGGTCTAATATAATGAGGCGAATCTACTTGTTTGGACAAAACTACAACGTAACTAGGAAGGAATTTCAAGTACTGTTAACACCACAACATTTGATAAACCCTTTGATTGAATTGGGAAATGAAGCACTATTCTATTTTTAAATGTTCTATAAACTCATTGAGTGTTATATCACATCAGACAATGAATAGAGTTAAAAGAGAAATACAAATGTCATTTTCCACAAAGAAAAATGAAAGGGCAAAGAGACCATGGCAAGGGTCCTTGCTTGTTGTATAAATAATACACATATATATGATGATTTAGTTCTCTTTGTTCTTTAGTTTACCAAAAACAACAAAAAGAAAAAGAAAAAAAAAAGAAAGAAAAGAAAAGAGAAATGGTAGCTCTATCTCAAATTTTGGCACAACTCTACACCATGACCCTACTCTTCTTCACCATTCTAGTTCTTGAACTAGTAATCCTTCTACGATCCATCTCCGGCGACCGCCCCATCACCACCACCCAGTACCTGAAACTCATCGAGGAAAAGATTCCGGCCACCCGGTACGACGCCGCGGTGGAGCCGCCGCTGGAGTGCACGGTTTGCTTGTCGACGTTTGAGGAGGGGGAGGCGATTAGGAAGCTGAAATGCAAGCACGTGTTCCACAAAGACTGCCTCGACACGTGGCTGGAGCAGTGCTCCGCCACCTGCCCACTCTGCCGGAGCAAGCTCTTGCCGGAGGAGGTGGTGTTGCGGTACCGACAGCGCCGGAACCCGCCGGAGTACGAAGGAAGCGATGAGGAGCTTATCTACTTGTTATCCGCGTTGCACGGTAATTACTTGCGCAGATTCATGTGAATTGAATCTAAAGATTTTGAGAAATTTTTGTATGTTAGTGTACAGGGTTTTTGTTTTTATTTTTTAATAATGTCGTGTAATGTAACACTTTACACCTAAAAGGAAATGTGGCCCATAAAATAGATTGCTAATATAAAATTAGTGTGTTGGTTCTCTACTAATTATTATTATTATTACTATTATTATTATTATTATTATTATTTTTACAATATCTAACATCAAATTAAAAACTTTGATTATTATTGGCCTTCTCAATTTATGATGGTAAGTTATGTAAAATTTATGTTGATTTACAATTATTTAGCAGTTAGGATTATAAGTTGGATTTTACCAATGGTGCACGGATCGCTATGTTGTGCATCCGTATGCATCATGCATGGTGCATACGGATGCAAAAACGACGTCGTTTTATTAAAAACGGGCATCCCATTTAAAAAAAATCAGTTTCGATTCTGGAATTTTAGTTAACAAATTCTAGAATTTTAGTTCATTGATTCTGGAATTTTAGTTCATTGATTATGGATATTTAGACGTGAATCGAAACTGATTTTTTTCATTCATGCTGGATATTTAGTTCATTCATTATGGATATTTAGTTCATTCATTATGGATTTTTGGTCCATTCATTCTGGAATTTTAGTTCATAAATTCTGGAATTTTAGTTCATAGATTTTGAAATTTTAGTTTATCGATTATGGAATTTTAGTTCATTGATTCTGGATATATAATTCAAATTATGCACAATATAATGTTGTTGCTGGGAATCGAAACTGATTTTTTTTTTAGTGAGACGCACATTTTTAATAAAACGACGTTGTTTTTGCATCCGTATGCACCATGCATGGTGCATACGGATGCACATCATAATTTGCCATGGTGCACTTTCTGGTTATGGTCACAACTTTCTATAAATTTTTTTTTTTAAAAAAAAAAAGAGTCAATAAGCCTTTAATTTTATTCGAAAAGTCAATTAGACGCCTAAAATTTTAAAAGTGTAATTAAGTACATACACATGTTATTTTAGTGCATTGAAGCCTAAAAATCAATCAGTGACCTATAACAGCATATCAATAAGTTTCAGCAACTCTTCAACCAACTCCGAGGATTAATACTAACAATTGGTGATTTCGAACGGTCGCTTATCGGTTGCATTATCCAATGAAGAAAACTGGTGAGAAGGCAACCCAGTGATCGCTTTCTCAACGTGAGAAGCAATTCATATGGTTGCCTTCTTCGTAGAGAAAGTGATCAACTGTTCGCTTTTTTCACCACAGAGGGCGACCAACTAGTTTCCTTCTACGCTGGAGAGGCCAAAAGTTGTCGTCTTCTTCAAATAATACGACTGGCGACTGTTTGTCAGTCACTGATTTTTTCCTCAACAATGGCTAGTTGCAATCAACGGTAGCCAATATGCTGTCAACAGGCGGCTAATGGTGGTCAACAATAACTTGTTTACCAATAACCTGTTGGTTACTAGTAAATTAAACTTATTTGATAGATTATAATAAATTGAAAGATTTAATGGTATATTTTAAAAGTTTAAGAACCTAATATATAGTATTTTGATATAAAGTTGTAGCTCCTTTCCCCTAAAAAAAAATTTTATTATTTTAGTTATATCCACATCCAATTAGGGTAGGTACGTAGCCTACTTTCAGTCATGCGCAGGGCATTGATGACCTAGCTACCAAGGTTGGTAATATTCGCCCAATTAAATTATTTCAACATTGTTTGGTATGTTCGCAAAGAGACTCCAAAGATCATATGCATTCTCTTCATTTCTATTTCAATTTTGATCCCTTCTATTATGTTCTTTGATTACTAAAAAACTCTTAGTTACTACACAATTAAAGATATGTTTTAGATGAAATTTACATTATTGTGACCCTAGCTGTGCTAATTGATAAAAACTACAAGGAAGTAAATCAATTTAGATTGTTCATAACTGATTAATTTTCGTTAATTTTCTTTGCTTTCTACTTATCAATGAGTAGACTAATTTTCCCTTCTTTAATATTTCATTTCTCTAAAAATAAAAAAAATATAATAACAAGTTTCTCTAGTTAATTAAATAGATACTTTTGTTTTGCGTTTATTAGAACTCATTTTCTCTATTATTATCTCCGATCAGTTAATTCAATTATAGGATATTTAATTTTTTTTTTTTTTTTTTTGATGTAAACCACAATGTGGTCTGGTCCGTTTAGCGGTCCAGGTCCACCCGGTTCACTACGAGAGGTACTGAAGCTGGCCCAGAGGGGATCGTCACTTGTGAGAATCGAATCTGAGTTATCCTAAAATTTTCTCCCACAAAGAGAGCTCATTTGCTACTTAAGCTACCCTGTTGGGTTAGAATATTTAATTTCTTCATTCAATTAAAATGAACCAATATATATCTTTGAGCATTAAATAGCATAGCACCACTAAAGGTAGGTATAGACAATGGCATAGTGATGGGAGTTAAGATGAGAGAGGAAGCAAAGTAATGGAGAAAGAAAATGGGAGATTGGGGTGGGAATAGTCAAAGAAAGAGTAAGCACAAAGTATGCAATGCGCCATTATTGTCTCAATGTCATTAGCATATTATCTATAGAAAATAATTCAAGGAAATTAATTCCGATGGAGACTTCTCCTTTTGAGTGTCTCAATGTCATTAGCATTTTCTATGGACTAGGTCACACAAAATTTATTTTATGGGTCAATTTGGAATTTTGATTCATTGGTGAACTTTCTATATGTGAGAATTGTGGATTCATCCCACACTTTTATTTGCGTTCATCTAATGGTTGTGATTAACTCTCTTCTAATTTTAAGGCAGATATGATTGTACTGTACGCTTTTGTAGAGTGCATGGGTGATCTATTTATATTCACTACTGAAAATTATGGAATTTCCGACCACTTGAAAATGATCTTAAATCAAGTTGAAAGTCTTGTTCCGACCACTTTTGGTATCCGAAAAAACCTTTATTGCTATTTCCGACCACTTTTTGGTATCAACTTGATTTAAGATCACTTTCAGGTGGTCGGAAATTTCATAATTTCCAGTAGTAATTCGTGGTCGGTTTGTAATGTTTTCTAATTTTAGTTTCGTCTTGATTGCGTGTATCATATATGTTTAAATTTATGAGTCACAAATGTGAGGTTATGGGTTCAAGTCCTAATAGGGGCGGTATTGACTCTTTGTACTTCAATAGGTAAAAAATTAAAAATTATAAAAATTCACTAATAAAACATAAGGTTCCCCTAGTTTTTTCTTACAAACTATTTACACAAGTAATTGTAAAATTGTTCAAAATATTGTTGAAATCATCTAAGTACATAAAAAGTTAAAATTTAGAGCAAAAGAAGCATTTTTTTGAAAAATTGGAGGGGCAAATTAAACTGTCTACGGAAGCATCGAAAGTTATGCCTTGACAAAGTTTCTACACTTTACAGCTAGTAGAAACTTCAACAAGTCAACACTCATATCTAGAAAATGGGGTACCAAGACTATGTGGTCTAATGGTACCCGGGTTGGACTTCCATTTGGAAGGTTACGAGTTTGAGCCTCAGTGGAGGCGTTATTGGTTCTTTGTGTTTCAGTAGGTTGAGAAAGTATATGAACAGATACTACAATGTAATAGGGCCAGTAACATTAAAAAAAAAAAAAACGGCCGCTCGGCCGCGGAGGAGGCCGATTCCGGCCTTTGTCGTCGCGGCTAGGCTAATCGGCACCTATGGGTGCGATTTTTGCATAATTACTACATTGTAACAGAGTCAGTAGTACTAAAAAAAGTGTGTATCATGGTGTATTTATGTTATGTTTTCAGTGTATTCCCAGTCGGTTTGCATTTGTTTTCTTTGTGGTTTCATGGTGCTTGATTGTGCATTGAATGTGTTTCAATTTATGGTGCACATTGGTGAGTTTTATAGTGCATTTCTGTTATGTTTTCAGTGCATTCTTGATCAGTATGCAATGTTTTTTTTTTTGCTTGCGTGCATCGTATATGTTTAAAGTCATGGTGCACTTTGGTGGGTTTCATGGTGCCTTCTTGGCTTCATGTCATATTTTTTTTATTGCATTTCTTTGTTTTTGATATGTGTCGGTCTTGTGTTGTTTGACTCACACACATAACATGTGTGTCTATATACACACACAGAGGGAGAAAAAATATTTATATCGTTAATTCGTTATTTAAGCGTTGGAATCTATATAGAGAAAATGACTTTTTTACTCCTGAATTCTATGCTTATAATATTATTCTCTTGAATTATTCACGTATGATGTATTTACATTCGCTCTCTCAATCATTTTAAAAGTGCCATTTTTTCGTCCTGATATGTTAAATGGACATTTTTACCCTTAAAAAAAATATTTCATTTATTTTTCTTCTTTAACAAATTATTGCTTATGTGTAGGGATGATCACACTTTGGTTCAAACTAAACCGGACACTGTAGCAATCGAATCAAAAGGTTCCGGTTACAATTTAGAGCCGGAACTCAATATCTATTTTAGTTTATTAAAATCTTGAATCGGAACATCCGATTCCAGTTCTGAATGGCGGAAAAAAATAATTTAATTATTGAATTTAGACTATTTTAAAAATAAAAAATTGAATTTAAAAAAAGTTTGAATCAACTGTTCAAACTATATCCAAAACTCTGAACCGGCGATTTGAAATTGGAATGGAATCGCGATCGTATCTACTTATATGTGAGAATAAGAATAAATGTGAAAAAGAACATTCACTATTTGCAAATATTATAATTATAATTTTAAGCTAATGTTAGTAGATATTACAATTTCAAACCGTCAGTTCACGGTTTTGAATCCAATTTGACCGCTGGTTCAATTTTTATGTTTTTTAAAATTCTATTTTGTATTTTAAAATAGTGTAAGTTTAACAATTAATTTAATTTATTTTTTCTGGTTCGCGATTTTAATAAACTAAAACCCAAATATTAGATTTCGGTTTTGAATTGTAACGGAACCGAAAGGTTCGGTTGCTATAGTGTCCGGTTTAACTCGAGTCGATCTGTAATCATGTCTACATATAAGTAATAATTTTTTAAGAAGAAAAATCAATGAAATATTTATTTTAAAGTTGAAAATGTCCATTTAACATATAAGAGAAAATTTTTTTTATCACTTTTAGAATAATGAAGGGAACTAA